CAATGACGTAATAGGAAGTCTCAAAATTTATAATAAAGTTTTAAAAAATTATACAAGAGTATTATAAAAGATAAAAATTTTATTTAATTTTATCAAATATATTTTCAATTAAACTTTCAACATCTAAACTATTAATTCTCTCTTTTTCTAGTTTTAATTCATCATCAATTTTTATTTTAAATGTTTTAAGATCTTCATTTAATTCATTTTTATATTTTAATAAAGATTCTTCACATTCTTTTTCTAATAAAATTGCTTCATTTTTTGCTTCAAGTTCAGCAACATTTGATAGTTTTTTAGCCTCCAACTCAGTAAATTCAATTAATTTCTTAGCTTCACACTCAGCCTCTAAAACCTTTTTAATTCCTTCTGAACTCATAATATTTATTATTTATCAACAATTATTTATAAAACAATCAATCAGGATGATTAAAAAACTCTTATAAATTTTATAAAAACTATTTTTATCAAAAAAATAATTCAAAAATATGAACAAGAAAGAAATTCAAGAAAAACTGTTAAACTCTTATAAATACAGAGATTATGAAACATCAATATTTCTAGCAACCCATTTATATTCATCAGAAGCAACAGATTCAATAAAATTGTTGTTAGGTGTGCTGTATTATGAGAAAAAAGATTACAAACGTTCAATAACTTTTTTAAAAAATTTAAACACAATAACAGCACTGTTTTATACAACACTTGATTATTATGAATTAAAAAGATATAAGGAAGGATTAACAACAATATTGAAATTAGATGATTCCATAATTAATGATGATGTTGAAAACAATCAAATAGGAACTTTTTTAAAGAATAATATTCTATTAGATTATAATATTAGTCATATTGAGAATTTAAAAGCTAAAATATATAAAGCATTAGGTGATCTATCTAATTTTATTACAAGTTGTAAGTTATCAATGACTTCGGAGATACTTTATGAGCCAGTTAATAATCTTTTTAATGAAAAAGAATTAAAAGTAAATGGAACATCAATAATAGAATGTTTTTATAGTGATTTAATGTTAAAATCAGATGATAAGAAATATATTGATCATTATAAGAAATGTGTACCTGGAAAGGGTAGTTATGCTTTAAGTAAAATAGCGGTAGAAAATGAAGATTATCACTTATTTTCATTTCTTAGATTGTATGATGAGTCCTTTATAGAAGGAGTAGAAGATTATTCAACGATCTTATTTAGAAAGAAAAAAAAGATTGAACTTGTTAACTTAGCACTTTATTTAACAAAATGGTATCCAAATGATCATAGAACGTGGATGGTGATAGGAAATTATTACAGTTTAATAGAGAGTGATTTAGCAGTGAAATGTTTAATGAAAAGTAAAGACATCAATGAAACATACCAAGTTTATTCATTATTAGGATTTGAAGCTGCTTCTAGATGTCAATACAGATTAGCAGAATCTTTTTATAATTCTTCATTAAAATTAAGAAAAAACAACCACAAAGCATTATTTGGTCTTGGAATAACTTTAGATGAGAGATTTCAATATAAGAATGCATTGATGTATTTTATGAAAGCATTGGAGTTAAATGAAACAGATAAAGAGATGCAAGTGTATTTTTTGAGGTTTCTTATTAAACATAAGAAGTATGAGAAAGGATTGAATTATTTTATTTCTAAGTTTAATTTTGAGAACAATATTGATTTAATTATTGATCGATTGTTAAATTCAATTGGTTATAATGAAACTGAAGAGTTAATGATTTTAGAATTTATAGAAATAATTTATAACATTCATACAGAATCAAAGGATAAGATAAGTTTGGTTGTTAAACTTTTAGATAACATAAAAATAAGATCTTCAAGTTATTATAAGAAGAGAGCTCTTTTAGAGTTAAATAAATAATTTTTTATAATACTTATTGTGATAATTTATATATTTTAATTTAGATTTAAACAAGGGGATTTAGTACAATGGTAGTATAATTGCTTTGCACGCAATAGATAGGGGTTCGATTCCCTTAATTTCCATTTTTTAATAAATTTATTTAATCTTCATTATTAGAGTGTTTATCATCTCTAGAATTATCATCTGAAGAATCATGAGCAGAAAAATTTGGTTCAAGTACGGCATCTAATTCTTTTTCAAGATTTGGTTCGTGAAAATTTCTGTCCTTAAAACTTTTTTCTTGATGACCAGTGGGTTCAATGTTACGTTGCTTCTCATCAGCTCTATTGTTTTTTGTTTTCTGAGTATTTCTTTGGTTAATTTGATGCTCAACATTATTTTTGGTGTATTGTACCATTTGAAACAAAATAATTTTTGCTTCTTATTCATAAACAATTCATATTTTATCTTTAAAATTCTATAAAAACAGATCAATAAAAATTTCCTAATTAGAAAAGAAGTTTATTTAAATGGTGAAATATAACATTACAACCATCATTAGGAATTTGTATATTTCTTTCAAACCAAGCTTTGATTCCCCCGCATACCTATCAAAGAAAGTTATTGGAACCTCTTTAATCTTCAAATTTAGATGTTCAGCCCTGGTAATTGCTTCTACTTGAAAGCCAAAATTTTTACAATAAACACTTTTAGCTAAAAAACTTAAAACATTCGTTTTGTAAATTCTAAAACTACCAGTTAAATCACTAGTTTTTACATCTAAAATATACCTTGCTAAATTATTTGCTATAGCAGATTGAAGTTTTCTAATAAAAGACCAATTACTGACTTTTCCATGAACCAACTCACCATTAATAAAATCAGAATTATACCTCGTACCAGTTACAATATCATATTTATCATATAAAGCATATTTATACATTCTTTCGATATCAAATGGAGAGTGTTGTAAATCAGAATCCATAAGGATTGTATATGGATATTTACACTCTTCTATAGAGTCAATATAAGCAGATCCTAATCCCATCTTACCAGGTCTTTCAATTACAACTATATTTGATCTTTTTAGTAATTTTACAATCTTTGAAGTACCATCAGGACTGTTATCATCACAAATTATAATTTTATGATTGATATCAATCTTA